ACATGGTCTGAATAGCCAACGCATTACATTACATTTTATAATACTGAGAGAAAAGAAGAGATGTCTGCCAAATAATGACTTGTAGGATATCAGTTCCAGTGCGACCTTTACATTGTCCGTTGTGATTCTTTGTTTTACTCTCTCATTCATGTTCGCTCATTGACTTAATACCACATAAGCCACACAATTAACCTCCCAGTACTCACTTTCAAAGAAGGAAAGTAGTTATATGAGAAATACAGTTCTTAAGTACCAATCACATGGGCATACTTTTGGTTTTTAAGTAGATTATAAGTCTACGAGAAGTAATTAACAACATTAGAATTAACAGACATGAAATATGAGCTATAACAGCTCTACACATCTTACCAGGTATTTGACATAATGCCCTTCTTTGAGCACTTGTACCACAACACCAATAATAAATTTAATGTTGTGCATATGTGTTAACCGGTGCTATGTCTGCTGTAGGTCTCATCCCACAATGCTGACGACACATCGGTTAACAATGATACATTTCACCCCCCCCCAGCTTACTGAATTTTCACACTCAGAACAACAAAAGAGGTTCAGCACAAAAGAGAAACCTGACCTCTTGTATCACGGATAGTTTCTTTCATGTGAAACGGAAACCTTCTTGTAGTGACCGTTTGGATTGGATTGTGGTTATTGTTTACTTGTTCCGTGCAATACTTATTGTGATTCTATAATGGAGTTTCCCTCCTTTGTTACAGTTACATGAAGATGCTTCTTTGTAAATTCAAAAAGTGATTCAAAAGCAGTTTTTATTTTAAAAAAGAAAAGAAGGGCCTGGTTTTTCCAAAGCAAAACTGTCAGAAGAAAGTGTACTTTATTGGTCCCCGTGGGGAATATCCCTCTCTGCATTTAACCCATTTACTCAGTGAAGCAGTGGGCAGCCACTGGGCACCCGGGGAGCAGTGTGTAGGGACGGTACCTTGCTCAGGGGTACCTCAGGGTAGCTGTTCAGGGGAATCGAACCCCCGACCTTCCGATCATGGGGCCACCACTCTACCTACTGAGCTATCCCTGCCCTTGTCAACCTAGTCAACCCAGACTGTATTCTGATCCAGTGTACAAGACATATTTCACACATACATTTCTAAGTCATTATTTCAATCCTTGCTAATGATGAATAACACAAGATAAATCATTATGTAATGGTATTAAAACGACCCTGAATGACCTGAAGGTAAAACTCATGAACTGGAAACAGAAACATATGTTTTTGATCAGGTGCTGCCCTCCAGTGTTGCAAAGTAGCAATCGTGACAACTACATTTAATATTATTGCACACTGTGTATCAGTATGAAATGTGACAATTATATAACATGACAGTTGTTGTGCATCCTTTCAAACAAAAGCTACATTTTTGTCATGTCACAAATGTTGTATTGTTTTATTACTTATATTTTATAGTTTTATGTTATTTTATTTTTTTTAGATTTCTTCTTAGTTTTATGGGCGTATTATTTTCAGGGTTTATGATACAATAACTTCTTGTTATTGTTCAGGAAGAGAAGGAAAACACCCTGGACCTGTAAAAGCTGGGCATTTTATCAAAATGCAAGCGCTATCTTCCTTGTCTTGTTGTCAGATAAAGTCATTATGTCATAAAGGTTCCAGTTTTCCTGTAAATGAATGGGTGCAGGGGTGGCTGACATTTCATTGTGATAAGTTATTGCACACTGTGTATCATACTCAACTGTGACTCTAGCAGTTATGACTGATATGTAGAGTTTTTTCTTACACAGAAGATATAGTTTATCATGTCACCAATGTTGCATTTCTTAACTGTTATGTTTAGAAGCTTCTGCTGATTTAACTGTTTCTAAAATATAACATAAGAATGAAAAACAATAATGCTGTGCAATTGTTGTGTCTCTGTTGTTGCCGTTCTGAATCAGCTCTACTGTTCCATCAGCTTCATTGGGACACCTGGAAGACATTTAAATATCCCAGATTATAAAGCAAAGTAGCAGAATTCATTATGAGGAAGAATTGGTGGAAAACCGAGGAGAGGTCTGTCTGGGTCTGACTCTTTTCTTTTCTAGTTCAGCTGAACTACCAGCTGAACTACCTCCAGATCAACGCCAGTAAAACCAAGGAACTCGTGGTAGACTTCCGCAGGCACAAGCATTCTCCACTGCAACCACTGAACATCCAAGGTATGGACATTGAGGCTGTGGACAGCTACAGGTACCTTGGTGTTCATCTGAACAATAGACTGGACTGGACTCATAACTCAGACGCCCTCTACAGGAAAGGGCAGAGCAGGCTGTACCTGCTGCGGAGACTCAGGTCATTTGGAGTGGAGGGCCCACTCCTGAAGACCTTCTATGACTCTGTTGTGGCTTCTGCTATCTTTTATGGTGTGGTCTGCTGGGGCGGCAGCATCTCTGCTGGGGACAGGAAGAGACTGAACAGGGTGATCCGAAGGGCCAGCTCTGTTCTAGGATGCCCTCTGGACCCAGTGGAGGTGGTGAGTGACAGGAGAACGGCGGCTAAGCTGTCATCCCTGTTGGACAACATCTCCCACCCCATGCAGCAGACTGTGACAGCACTGAGCAGCTCCTTCAGTGCGAGACTGCGGCACCCACGGTGTGGGACGGAGAGATTTCGCAGGTCTTTCCTCCCCACTGCTGTCAGACTCCATAATAAAGACTTCAACTGATCAAGCACACACATCCACACATGTGCAATAATACTAAGTGCAATAATCCTTTCTGTCATCGTTGTATTTTTACTCAGTTGTATATAGTATTTGTATTTGTATTCTATTTTTATCTTATTGTATATTTATTTTATTTTATTCTACTGTATATAGTATTTTATTTTATTCTACTGTATATAGTATTTTATTCTATTCTGTACAGTTGTGTACTGTATTTATTCTTGTTGTATTCTAATTTTTGCCTCATAACTTTTGCACTGTCCACTTCCTGCTGTGACAAAACAAATTTCCCACGTGTGGGACTAATAAAGGTTATCTTATCTTATCTTATCTTTCAAGTTTTTAATAAAGAATGCTAAGACTAGGTGAAGTTGCAAAAATTCTCTTACTCTGCAGTAATAAGATGGGCGGACGAGGTAATTTGGCATGTTGACTGGCGTGGCCAAGCAGGAGTCCAGAACAGTGGAGATCAGATGCTGATCCACTCTTCCTGTTCGCACCTCGACATATAACCTCTGATCTATTTCCATTTCTATGTTTGTGCCACAGCTGAAGGGGAAACAGAAGCCGGGGTCATGGAAGGGGATCATTCAAATGTGCTACTGTCCATGGCAGTTGCAATCTTCTTACTAATGATGCTACAAAAAACAGCAATAATAATAACAATACTACAAGTGAGTTGATTACCAAATGATTGTAAATAAGTTTCACCTCAAGAGCTTCTCAATAATAAAAATGTAACATTTTAACACTGAATCCAGTTCACTTCCTTTTCTACAGGTGTAAACTACAAGCTTACAATGTAGTGCGTTATCTCAGACGGAGCATGGCACGTTGTACTTTTAGAGAGGATGAAAACAGCAGCATTTAGCTGTGAATGCTGTGCTAGCTGCAGATATTTACAATTTCTTATTTATGTACTTTATCTTTTAGCTATATCTGTTCTTAGTGACTTTGTTCTTATATTCCCTTTTATTGTTGTATAATTAGTGCCCTTAACCTGATGACATATGTGGTACTTTGTTAATAGTCTTTTATTTATTGTCTTAATTTTCCTGTTTTTATTGTAAAGCACTTTGGTGTACCACTGGTCTTTTAAATGTGCTATACAAATAAAGTTGTATTGTATTGTATTGTATTTAACATGCATGAACATCATAATATGTAGCACTGGTGTCTGACAACCCCCACCCCTCTCAGAAAACTGCAGCTTTTTTAACAAATAGTAAATGGACTGGTAGTTGCATCTTTTACTCAGTTAGGCACTCAAATCTGTTTCTGTTTCATTCACCCAATCACCCACACATTAATTCATTCATACAGCACATTTTATCGATGCCTATGTGCTTTCAAACATTCACAGGCTCACACAACAGTGGATGCATGAGGAGTAACTTGGGATTTAGTATCTTGCCCAAGGATACTTTGGGATGTGGAGTGGAAGAATCTGGGATTCAATAGCCTTCCAACTGTTGGAAAACCCATGCAACCACTTGAGCCACACCCTCCCTAAAAACTCCTTGCTGGTGGTCTCTCCCCTTCTGCTATGTAGTCTAGCAACCATACAGTGTTCCACACATTTTACCCACTTTGAGTTACTCGTATAGTACTCCATGAGACATTGACATTGTAAACAAAAATATGCATTCAAACTAGAAAGAGCTAAAATAATGTATGTTTGAAGTAGTGTATGTGTAAGTGTAAAGAGCTTCAAAGTGACATGTCACTGTAATAATAATTGCAATTTTTAGTAATGCCCTAATGTAAAGTGTTACTGTACAGTTACAATTATGCCACTGCTTGTGTTGCAGAGGTTTTGCAATTACAGTTCAACCAAAAGCTGAAGACCACTTGAAAATGGCAAAAAAAAAAAAAAAAAAATCATATTTGGCATGTTTGGATCTTAACAAGTCTTAACAAATGTGTTGTCTCATTCCCATTTCTTCTTGTTGCATGTTGAAGCTCAACTTGGAACCTTGTTAAGATCCAACCATGCAAAGTATGATTTTTTTTGTGCCATTTTTCAAGTAGTCTTAAGCTTTTGATTGTGGCTGTATCTTCGAGACAGACGGATAGAAACAAACAATTAAAACAATGTTTTGTTTCTTTGTTTCTTTGCTCCAGTTTGAGGATTTGTGTTTGTGTAGCAGAGGAGGAAAATGCTGAAGTTATTTATGAAATTTCAAAAGATAATTACTTTTATTTCTACTTTGTTTTTTAGTTTTTTTTGTAACAACCCCAACACTGGTACTAAAAAAGCCAACTTGACAAAATATTGTATATAATACACAAGAGATGTTTTGTTACCTTTCTATGGGGTTGATGCCCACAGCCATAGACAGGGCCAGATTCAGGGGGTATTCACAGCTGAAACGCAAAATAGTACAAGTTGAATATGTTCAATAACAGTGAATATCCATAATATTTTTGTCTGAGTGCTTTCCCACAAAGATGGTTGTCATTTTCAAAGTGGAAAACCAGTCGTTCATCCTCAGGAGTACTACGCCACTCATACTCTGTACAGTCCAGCTGTTAACAGGGGTTGGACTGCTCTGCAGAAGGACTCCTCTCCTCCCGTTGCCTCCAGGAGGGGAAACGATGAAAAGAGAGCCCATTTTCCAGCTTCTTGCCTTCCCTGTCGTGTGATCTACTGTTGCAACCGACAACACAGCATGTACAAACCATAGCTGACGCTTCCATGTGCTTTGCTTGGCCTACTGTCATGGCGGGAGGGGGCGTGGAATCAAATCTGTTATAGAAATGATTCAGTTCATTTATGTATTGTGATTCTAAAATGGAGTTTTCCTCCTTTGTTACAGTTACATGAAGAGCCCTCTTTGTAAATTGAAAAAGTGACTGTCACAGATTCAAATATTGGAAAACCAAAATAACAACACTGGTCCGGCCGGGTTGAGTCAAACGATGATTTTAATGTACACGCGTGGGAGATGGACACCGTACGCAGACAGCATCAGATCTCAAAATGGTGGAGCATTGATCAAACTCTTATAGCCTCTAGTGGCCCCCACCTAATCATAAAAGCCTAAACATTCACATTCTTTCTCTCACACGGCGCCTAAGCTACGACCTTGGCTCCCTGTTTATCTGCTCCTGCTGAGATGGGGCAGAAAACTCCAGTATGTTCTGTTCTCTTCTAATCAGACAAATAAGGCGATGACTTTCTGCGAACAGTATTTCTTATAACTCAGCAGTATAATGCATCATAAAACAATATCATTCATTCACAATAAATCAGCAGTCTAATGTAATGCAAATCAGTTTAACAAATGCAATAGTTATCACCTTCTTCTAATTCAGGAGAATAATGCAAACTAAAACTACATAATAATTCACAATCTTTAATTAGGGGTCTAACATGGCATAAAATAATATTATAATCCCACATGACTCAAAAGCAATGTAGTAACATTTTTATTTTTTTTAAAAAAGAAACAGAAAAAGAAAGCAAGACCATCAATCAACTCAGACTTTATTTTGACACAGTTTACAAGGCATTAATATTTCAAACATACATTTATTCTTCATTATTTTTATATTTGCTAATGAATGGATGAATACCACAAAATAAATCATGATGTAACGATGTTAAAACAATCCTGAATGACCTGAAGGTAAAACTCGTGAACTGGAAACAGAAGCATACAAATATGTTTTTGATCAGATGCTGCCCTCCAGTGTTGCAAAGAAAAACTGCAGAAATTACAAGTAGGAATGCTCATAGCAAATAAGAAGTATTTTAATAGATGTCAAATATTCAGTAACATCCACTTTTCAAACCATCACTATTCCTCTGTGCATATAAAAAAGTCTTCTGATTCTATTTTCTGTGCTTTTATTTATCAAATCTATACTAAGTTATTATATGATTGCTGAGTTTGCTGTAATTTGTGCATTAACTTGATTTCTCTAGATCAGATTATTTGCAGTCAGCAAGCAGATTATCAGGGTCACCAGAGATGTCAAGAGGCCTGGAGAGCTGCTTGCTTTCATTCTTCTTTCTGTTAGAAAACAACCAAAATCTACAGTGATTTCAAACTTGGCTCATGAATCCAATTATCACAATCCACTGATTATACAGCTGTATCATCTACAAGACTGCCAATGTTGTACAAATGTTACCTGTGTTCAATACAAGCGGTCCCAATGAAATGCCTTCACTGTCATGGTAGGAAATATCCCTCACCACTCTTGCATGGTAACCTGGGTAGCAATGCTGTGGAAAGCAGAGTGATTTCAGCAGATGAAGGAATCCAATAAGTGGTATGAAAGATTTTTTCCCACTGTTAATACAAATCGTTATAAGTAGTACGTACAGCTGTGCAGTAATTGTGTCTCAAAAGACACAGGTGGACTTGGCAGTGCAGGTAGATAGATGAAAAGTTGGTAAAGGTGAACATCCTGAATGAGAAACGGGCTACGGTGGAGACGCCGTTCTGAAGCAGCTCTACTGTGCCATCTGCTGGATTAGGACACCTAGATAGCAGCATAATGTGAAAGTTGCAGTGTTAATGTGCAAACAACTTAGTTATGATAAGAAGATGATTAAAGTTCACCCATCACAAAAGACAAAAAAAGAAAAGAAAAGTTAAGGCAATGTCTTTACTGTGTGGTGATCAGATCCCAGCGCACAGGGTAGCTGGGATCATTAACAGGCGTTGCCCAGCAAGAGTCCAGGATAGTGGAGATCTGCCGCTCATCAATTCCCTGCGTCTGAACCTCAATGTATAACCTCTCATCTATTTCCATTTCTAAATTTCTGCTTCTGGTCAAAGGGAAGTGGAAGCCAGGGTCCCGGTAGGGTATCATCCTCAAATGATAATGGCCCAGACCAGATGGATGTCTCTTGTTCACAATGCTACAGGTAAACATGATAAAACAAGATGTTTTCAGGATTTGGAATTCATAAAGTGGTCAGGTGTGTGTGCAGTCTGTAGCAAAATATATACAATTAATAATTAATAATAATTAAATGTGGCAATAATTAATTACAATTGGAAATAATTAATTTATTAAATATTCACAACACATTTAATTAATTAATTGAATTCATTATTTAATGATGCATATATTTAATTCACTTTGGCACTATTGTCCCCATGTCTCACCTTGAAATCATTTTATCTGTCGGCCTCACCCATCAAACTAAGGGGGCGGGGTTAACGCTGCCACTGCAGCTTCGCTAACATTTGATTGGTTGCGGTGCAAAGTAAGTCAAGACAGGTCGATCCTAGATAATCGATTGCTTGTGTGGACTTGGGGCAGCCAGGTATCCCAGAATGCATTTCAAATCACAGGCAGCAATGGTGGTGGTGTAGTTTTAAAATACCCCGTTTTTCTGTCACCAACTACACTTTTAATAGTGTTTTAGCTGCGAATGTTGTGGCGTAATCTTCACATGTCTGGTCAGGATGTCAACATAGAACATGTTTTCAGAGATGTCACTAGCTCTACTAACAGTCAGCTGACAGAGTGCAGCGAGCTCCATCTTAACTGTTTTTTATGTTTGTTTGTTTGTTTGTTTTTTGGGGGCAAGGGGGGTTAACTGGTTTGTTTACATATTCCACTCTCCGTGTTCCACATGTTGCATTTGCAGATTCTCATTTTCTTGGTCTTCTATCTCTTTGCTTCTGTAACATAAAGAACGAGCTGACATTTTTCTCAAAACCAGCGATCAGCTCAACAGACCCTCAGTTTACCTGCATGCATCCTCCTCCTCACCTGTCAGATGTTTAACACCTGGGCCCTGTTTCAGGAAGCCGGTTTAGTGGAAAAACTGAGTAAGTATACCCTGAGTTAACGAAAACGCTGGTTTTTCGGTTTCACAAAGCGAGTTCAGCTGCAGCCTGAGTGAGTCACTATGACGACACACGCCGTGAAGCTAACCTGCCCCCTAGCAGGTTTACCACAACTAACCCTGACTGACCCCGCCCCTTTGTCGGAAACCTGACAGTAGGAAGTGTCAGACATGGCGTGTCCCTTCCGTGAAGAGCCGGTAGATCGTGAAGCCCAAATTCTCCGCAGAGCTCTCCGCCGGGAGAGAGTGATCAGATCGCGTTTGGACATTTTATCATTTCCTGATGAGTTTCTGTGTGAACGTTACCGTTTCTCAGCACAATCTATAAGTTATTTGACTAACATCCTCAGGCCATATATTACGCATGTGACATCGCGGACATGCTCTCAGTTCATTACATATTATTTGTATCGCACTTCGGTTTTTTGCAAACGGGAGCTTTCTGTATAATATTGGTGACGCTGAGCACGTTTCCAAGGCTACCGTCTGTCGGGCAGTCAGGAATGTTACAGTTGCACTGAAACGTCTCCTGTACTCGTTTGTGGTGTTCCCCGGTCATAGACCCACAAGATTTATCAAAGAGGGATGCCACAAAATTGCAGGTAGCAGGATGAACAAAACTCAATTCATGATGTGGTGATACTTGAACTACTACTTAAATTTTACATTTATTTTCAGGGTTCCCAGGCGTGATTGGCTGTACAGATGGCACTCACATTCCAATCATTGCTCCTTCAGTAAATGAAGGAGACTATGTGAACAGGAAGTCTTTCCACAGCATTAATGTACAGGTACATAGTTCCCTGTAGCATTTCAAACTAACAAATTATTTCATTATAGTAATGGATGCTAATTTGTGTTCTCTGCACTGTGAAGATCATATATGATGCTGCCAACATTATCACAAATGTGGAAGCCAAGTGGCCAGGCTCTGTCCATGACTCACAAATATTCCGTGAATGTACACTGAGCACAAAATTTGGACATGGTGAGTTGAGAATACTTTAAAATATATAAAGACCAATTGCTTCAGGGACATTTGAACTGAAGTGTATCCTTCTGTCTTAGGAGAGTTCACTGGCTACTTGCTTGGTGATAGGGGGTATCCATGTTTACCCTATTTGCTTACCCCTTACCCTGACCCTGAACCGGGCCCACAGCAGCGAAATAATCTGGCTAATTGCAGGACAAGAGCCAGAATTGAAATGACTATCGGAATGCTTAAGGCCCGGTTCCAGTGCCTGCAAGGACTCAGGGTCACCCCAGAAAGGGCATGTGACATTATTGTGGCATGTGTGATTCTTCACAACATTGCCACAATTAGAGGAGAACACTGTCCTTCTGAACCAAACATCAGCAGTGATCCAAACCATGAACATCCTGACCCTCCCACGGACATACAAGATGGAAGTGCAGTCAGAGACACCATATGTCACAATCATTTCTTTTGACCCATCACCTCAACATGTTGAAAGAAGAATAAACAGATTTTATGTTCAACTGGCTTTATTGGTCACCTGTGTTTCCTGTACACAAAGTATTAAAAGATGTAAACCTCATAAAGTGTCTGTTGCTTCCTCCTCTGTAACAGCTGTCAATGTTTCTTCATTATTTTCCTGTAGTAAAGAAATAAACAACATTGCTGTTCTACTGTAAACTCATATAATCTGTGGAGTATTACTCACAACTGCATGTTGGTCTGGCTCAACAGGAGGCTGCACCAGATGCAGTACACCACCACCATCAACTGATAGAATATGAGGTTTATACAGGTCACTTATAACTTACAAGGGACCAAATGGCAATTAACAAACATACCATCACCTTACACTTCATTGTCATTATGCTCTCAAAGACAACCAAGACTGAGGGAAGGCAAAATCAGTAGGAAAATGACTTCACTACAAAATAATCCATTATGGTAAAGAGTTTATCAAATGAATGAGTAGCACTGCAAAGGTGACTGTGAAGAAAGGATGTATGCACATCATGTATTATTTTGAATTTACCCCCTATGTAGGCACTTGTGTCTTGCGGGGTTATTGACTCAGAGGATGTCCCCGCAGAGATGCCTTCGGCCACAGGGCGCCCACTGTTTTGGCTGAGGGCCAACTGCTCAGCCTCTGTGAGTGGTGGTGGTGGAGGACCCCCACCTGTTTTTCGGGCCTCCGCTTTTTTTCTGTTGGCTATAACGGGTCACATTTGAGCATACAGAGTAAGCAAATATGTACTTGTAATGTGCTCAGATAATTTCAAATAGGAGTGGCAAATCCCTAGATCAATGTTTAAATTAACACTCACGCATTGACTCTGTCGGCTATGTTTTGCCATGCATGCTCCCTGTCTTTTGCAGCTATGGCTAACTTTACTTTTTTCCGCGGAATTTGCATGTTATCGGCATATGCTGCCATCAGAATTTCGGCCTCAAGCGCTGTAAAATACATTGACCGCGCCTTCTTTCCCTCCGTCTCCATGGTGACTCGCTTAATCTGTGCTCCGCTTATCAGGGCTTTATGTATCCTCGTCCGCGCGCTTCACTTGGGGTTAGCGCGACTCCGCGTTGACTGAACTACTTGTTATCAGCCTTTCTGAAACCGAATATTCCGAGTTGGACAGTTCGGGGTTACTCAACCGTGAGTGTCGTTTTTCACTCTGAGTTTTCCAAACCGGCTTCCTGAAACAGGGCCCTGCTGCTAATTCAAGAAACAGCGCCTACGTTACCTGGTGATAGTCACAGTTTAACTGGGCAGCCGGTGCTCGATATAAAGCAATGTCAGCGCATTTTTCTGCACAAGATAAGTAAATATAGTGTTTTCCCCGAGCGCAGAGCTGCTGGAGCTTGTTTCCTTACAGAGCACTTTATAGGCGAACCAGCTTCATCAGCGGCTGATGTCCAATCACCGGCACACAGCTTTGAAACCTCAGCTGAGTTTTAGCTCTCAGTGGTTAAACGCTGGACTTCATTCACTCAGGTTCTGTCTGTCGGGTCACGTTTACTTCGCTGTTTTATTTACAACTGAGCAAATCGGTTTGGCTGAGGTTAAAGTTACGTTTCATAACTGCATAGTTTTACTGAAGTTTAATGGTTCACTGGCACAGGTGTTAGACCGAACCATTTGCTTTTCTTTATCTGGTGTGTTTGGGATTTTTAACAGTGAATTGTCGAAACAGGTTTGATCGTTTCCTGCGTGTATTAATTTGGTGATTTATTAAATGTATTCATGTTATTCTAATCTGCTGCTGAGTCTCTTACGCTGATGAAAATGCAGATAACACAGAGACAAACTGACAGTTCATCTCTATTACAACAGTGTTGCGTTAGACTGCTATATTTTTGTGTTCTTTATGCTGTAGATTTTTCACGTCTCTGGAATTGGCAGTAATAAGGATGATTTTCTGTTAAATCATATTGATATGACCTGTGAATTATTCATAGATGACCGTTAGATTAGTCAGCTGGGAAACTCTGGGTTAACTCAGAGAGCTGAAGATATCGTGGATATGCTGACCTCGCTCCATGGAGTACAGGGCCGTTTACCCTCATCATTAATATTCAAAATAAAAATATTAGCCAAACATCATGAAGTCTGTATGTGTTTCATAGTGTCGAACAACCTTTGTACAGTATAGCAGTTACTACATGACGGAAACACCAACATTATTTCTTTTAATAAAGTTTATGTGTTTTACACAGGTGACGCTGATTATTGCACAAAAAGCACAAAGATCAGATGTTAATCGGATTTATTTGTTCTCTCTCCTCCTCAAACATGATTTTTAATGTTAGTTATAATTCAGAATTGGCAACTGAAACAAGTAAGACACATAAGAACATCAGGAAGTAAAAAACCCGAAGTCAGTGTACTGCGGGGGTTATGGCAGCTGTGTACCGAGACCTGCGCTTTTTCGGCGGTAATAACAGCTCGATTGCTTGCGAGGCGAGTGGGTCTAGCCCACGCTTTGCTGTGAGACTGGGCTTGGCAGACATCTCAGAAATCAACAAAACACTTTTGTAAAGAGGCTATATCTTGACAAACCGACCAGATATTGAAGATTAAACCAATACATTCTCGGCTAAAAAATATTAAAACGGTATTTGGTGACACACAAACAGGATTTTTCAAAGTTCAGTTCTGTTAGTTTCCACATGCCGGTTGTTGGTGTGCTAAAAATAATGGCCACCAGGCGAAGCAATGGTTTGGACTCTAGCAGCATTAACCCCGCCCCCTGAGATTGGTGGATGCGGTTGACAGATAAAATAAATTCATTGTGAGACCTAAAGGAGTCAACTGTGCCAAAATGAATGAATTAAATACATCATTAAATAATTATTTAAATGTGGCAATAATTAATTGATTAAATGTGTCAAAAATATTTATTTAATTAAATAATATCAATTCCAATTAATTATTGCCACATTAATAAATTATTCAATAGTGTATTTAATTAATTCATTATGACAGACCTGGCGTTCCATACATTAGAACAATGATGGTATTAAACAAAAACAGGGTAAAATGATGGTGATTCACATGGTCATATAGTCATGAAGACAATCAAAAACTGAAATTTCTATAAAGCTCAGCGAGCTATGTACCTTTGGAAGAGCAGCAACCACAATGTCATACGACCAAAAAGAAAAAAACAAAACAATGTAAGCCAGATTGTGTTGTGGTTATCACCTCGCTACAGGTTTGATGCCAACATCCATAGACAGTGCCTGGGTCAGAGCATAGTCACAGGAGAAGTGCAGGTGGATGCTCTTCTCATGACTTTCGAGGCCATCATGAGGGTCCACATCCCCGCTGATAGTGTTCTCATAACTGAAGTGGGTCCCGTTGCTCTTAAGAGTAAGAAGACAAAAGATTTTAAGCATATTTTCAAAAATTAAAAATGCTGCCCAGAA